ATGTAGTACTATGTATATGGAGTATACTTAATCCAGTTCGTTTCTTACAGTGTTCCAATTTTCTATGACCTAATTCTTTCCCTTGATCTATTACTATCTGAGAGACGAGGTTTAAAAATTCTCACTTTTGGGATGGGGGGTGGTTTGTGGCACAGCAGGTTAAGCCACCAATTGGAATGTCCACATTCCCTTTCAGAGTACCTGGGATTGAGTTCCTCCTCTGCTTCCTATCTAGCTTCTTCCCAATGCATCTGGGAGGAAGCAAATAATGGCTCAAATACCTGAGCTCCTGCCATTCACAGGGCAATGTTTCCGTTTCCTGGCTTCGGCCTGGCCCAGCCCTGGCTGTGGCAGGCATTTGGGGAGTGAACCAGGGGATGGAAGATCTGTCTCTCCCTCTCTCTTTCAAATAAATAAAAATGAATAAACATTTAAAACAAATCCCCACAAGGATTATAGACTTGTCAAGTTTATATACTTTGAAGCTATGTTATCATTCATAAAATTGCTATATTTTTTTCATTGCTTCTCAGCCTTTTGGCTAATATCAAGTGTAAAATTGCTTTATTTTCTTGATTAATTACCATTCTGTCATCTAGTAATAACATTCTTTAATAATTTTGCTTTAAAATTTCAAAACCTGATTAGCATAATCACAGCAACTTCTTTGTGGCTAGTTTTTGCCTCATGTCTTATTCCATTAGCTTACTTTCAACCTTGCAGCAGCCTATGCTCTGGGTTCTGTCTCTCAGAAACCACATATCTCAAATCTAATAATTTCCATTATCCCGCTGACTTAAGCCTGTACGTTTATTCTGAGTACTAATACGGCTGGACTTACTGGCATCTTCTTTTGTCCTTTAAACTTAGCAAGCCTTTTTTTTTCTTTTTTTACTTTGCATCTTCCCCAAACACCTCCTTCCTTCTCCTCGAGTAATCAGACTTTGTTTATTCCTCTATTATTTAGATAGTCATGTATTCCGCTTATCTGTGGTAATGCTTAAACATAAACTCTTGGCTTAAAAGATGTACTACTTCTATCCTCCTCCTTAATGTTGATAGAATGCTTTAACTCCAGTCTCCTCCCATTCTTCTGCCATATTATTTTCCAGTACTTACATTCTTTTTAACCCTGTCCTAAATTGTTCTTCATTGCTGTTACTATTTGTTCTGTACTTCGTTTTATTTATTCCATTTTTATTTTAAATTTCATTGCCACCAGATAGTAGAGTGTTACTGTCCTGATCACTTAATAATTTGCTTTATTGTACCAAATAATCTGCGGTTGAAATAATCAAAGCAGTGTTTACTTCTTAAATATTTGAGAGCGAACATTCCCCCTTCTGCTGGTTTACTCCCCAACAGCCTGCAATAGCCAGGGTAGGAGCCAGAAGTTGGGAATCCAGATCTCCCCTGTGGATGGCAGGAACCCAATTACTTGAGCCATCACCACTGCCTCCCAGAGTCCACATTGGCAGGAAACCGGAGTCAGGAGTTGGAGGCAGGTATCAACCAGACACTCTGATGTGGATGCCTGCAGAGTAACTAGTGTCCTAACTACTGGGCCAAATACCCATGCCTGTTTTTTTCCTCTGATCCATATTCTCTTATCACTACTTCATACATGATACTTTAGTAATGCATCTTCATTCAGAGCTGCTATTGAAGAAACGTACCAAGTGAGTATTTCTTACCTGGGCCAAAATAATCTAGAAATCTATTTTTTAACGAATTTTTGACAATATTTTCCAGAGTGTATATTTACAAAATTCACAGGAGACTTACAAACATAGCTCTTTTTCTGCTTTGCCCTAAAGACTCAAATAACATTTAGTAGCAAGTGTATATGGCAAATAACTAGTGGGCAAAGTTCTTCTCTTTCAAAGATGCAGGAAACATGGTTGACATGTTAGCTGATAGAAACTATTACCTCTGATAGAAGAATGGTGATTAGGTTGACAGATATAACAGAATTTAACAAGTGGAACAAATTATCTCAAATACCTCAAGTTACCTCAATTTAGAAAGCAAATCTAAAGGGTTCCCATCTACCAGCTGAGGTTGAAAAACACCTTAATCATCTGTACATATCTCCAGAAGATGCGAAGATAGGACAGTAAATTTTAGAAACCACTGGTCTAGCTCATTTTTTTAGTGTGGTAAAATATACATAACAGAACTGCCCATTCACTTGTACAGTGTGAGTAGGTGAGCTGCTGAAGATCAGCCCTGCACGGGTTGGAGTTCTCTACGTGTGGGGAATACTTGTTGGGGCAGGGCTGGGTGAGAAGGCGTACAACTCTGCACTTGCAGACTCACGGGACTTCTCAGCGCTGTCGTGCTGTTGGGGTTAACCAGCAGAGCTCGACAATGCAGCTAGGAAGAGAAAAAGGATAAACACGAGGGCTTGTCACCTCTACCCCCAAAATAAATACAACTGAAGGCTCAGACAACTTTAATCATTAAAATGTTTGGGACAAAAGTCCAACCCAGTTCTTTTGCTCCTGAGGGAAGGCATGCCTGGACCAATAGCTGGGTCACTTGGACAGCTCAGAGTCTGCAGGAAGTATTTCATCAACAAGGAATTAAGGGAACCTTTCATATGCCTGGAGCTCTATCTGATACAAAAGAACGGAACTGATGAGATATCTGTACTTAGGGAGACGCTGTTATATTCTGGGACCAGAAAATGTATCAAGGACTTTGGGAAAGGGGAGCATTGTGGGTCAGATTTGTCACGTGTGAGAGAACCACTAGGGCTGGGTACTAACACGTGGCCTATATTAAGGTCATAATACCATCAAGAGAACCCACTACTTCCTCATTGCCCACCAGTTGCTAAGTGATGTATTGGACACTAATTTTTTTCTAGATAGTAACTCAATGGAAATAGCTGTTCTAACCCCCATTTTCAGATGAGGGCACAGATTCAGACAGAATGAGTAAAATCCTTTAAGGCAGAGCTTGGAATTCAAACTCGGGTCTAGGACTGAGAAGAATCGGGATTCATCAGTTCTCCTCACAGCCTCCTCCCCCCCCCCCCCAGCCCCCCCGCCGCCATCATAGAAATTAAGAGAAAGACCTTGCAACCTGGATTTTTAAAACATGTAATAGATGGCATTATAAAATTTCAAGAAGAAAGGGACAAAATAACCATCCTTTGCTTCCTCCTCCTTTAGCTCTCAACTTGAATATCCTCTCTTCGAAGATCCCTCTCCCACCCCATCAAACTAGGTTAGGAGTACTTTCTTCAAGCTCCCCAAATAAGGACCACAGCCCTCCATGTATGAGCCAAAAAGCCATGCAGGCTCTGAAAACTGAGAACGTTCTCAAAGTTTGCAGCAAGCTTGTTTGGCAAGAGGTGAAATGAATTAATGTGAAACTCTCTTGGGGCCAGTGCTGTGGCATGGTGTAAAGCCACCGCCTCAGTGCCGGCATCCCATATTGGGTGCTGGTTTGAGTCCCGGCTGCTCCACTTCTGATCCGGTTCTCTGCTTATGGCCTGGGAAAGCAGTAGAAGATGGCCCAGGTCCTTGGGCCCCTGCACCTATGTGGGAGACCCAGAAGAGGCTCTTGGCTTCAGATCGGTGCATCTCTGGCCATTGTGGCCAGCTGGGGAGTTTATCAGCAGATGGAAGACCTCTCTCTCTGCCTCTTGTTCTAATTCTTTCAAATAAATAATCTTTTTTAAAAGCTTTTAGTTACCTTAGGCACAAATGTCACTGCTCTACAATGCTTCATTCTTTGGAAGCCGAGCACTTTTCAAGAGTCCCCTGCATGTAGCAGGTGCACAATAAATATTCCCTGAGAGGGCCGGCGCCATGGCTCACTTGGCTAATCCTCCACCTGCGGCACTGACAACCGAATTCTAGTCCCAGTTGGGGCGCTGCTCCTGTCCTGGTTCCTCCTCTTCCAGCCCAGCTCTCTGCTGTGGCTCGGGAAGGCAGTGGAGGATGGCCCAAAGGCTTGGGCCCTGCACCCCATGGGAGACCAGGAGGAGGCACCTGGCTCCTGGCTTTGGATCGGTGGAGTGTGTCGGCCATAGTGGCCATTAGGGGAGTGAACCAACTGTCTCTCTCACTGTCTAACTCTACCTGTCAAATAAAAAAAAATTATTTCCTGAGGGAAGGACCAAGGCTGAGAAATCGGCTAAGAAAGAAAAAGTCAGCAGCTTGGGGGTACCACGGCTCCCCACTTGCAGGCTGGGCCTCTAACCACCAAATACCACTCCCTTCTTTGACTCTGAAGGCCCTATAAATAGTTTCTGTTGATTGAAGGCAAGCAACACAACCCCTGTCTTCACTAGGAATAAAAATAGTTCAGTGGTCCTACAAGAGGGACCCACGCATAGCTTTGGACCAATAAAACAAAGCACAGTAGGCATATTCCTATTTCAGAGACCACATGGGTAGCTTCACAGGACCCCTGGAACTTGGGAACAGATGACATGCTTTTGGGCCTGACTCTGCTGCATCCAGTAACCTTGCTAGTCCTGCGGTTTTCTTATCTGTAAAACAACCTCTTGCGTAGGCCCCAAGGCCCTCACAGGTGGGTTGCTAACATGATAGCTCGTGGGAGGGACAGTAGCAGCTGGCCTACACCTCAGAACTGGCTACAAACCTCTGGAGCTCCTTCACTCCTGTCCTCATTTAGTGTACTCTGTCCAATCTGCACACACTTCTCATTGAAAAGGAGCACACTCAACACAAAGACATGTTGGGTACACAAGTCCCAGAAGGGGCTCCTGTCTTTAATCGTAAACAATGGTCAAAGAGCTCTAAGAAAAGTAGCCGAAGCAGCCGCTGGATCTCCTGACTTGTACAGACAAATGGGGTGGTAGTGGGGAGATAACCACTGGCTAGCAAAGACTGGATTCACATAGGGAATTGCTTCACTGCAAGGTCCCAGGTCAGGAGAGGGGACAGAAGAGGCCTGGGGAAAATGAGTGACGCGAGAGGACAGGACTGGCTCTTCCCGTGGGGCGGATGGTCCCTTCTTACCTGGTAACACAGGATGGTTTGCTGCACCAGCCGCGCGTACCCATCCAAGCGGACCCCGGAATTGCTCCTGCTCCGCATCTCCCGGACGCCCGATCTTAGTCTGCAGCCTCCGAGCGGGCCTGATCCCCGAACGCTGAGGCTCTGTCAGTTCTAGCGATGGGGCAGGGCGGGAGGAGGCCAGGACTTTTCAAAACCATAGAGCCAAAGCGTGATTGGAAAGCAAGCCAACCAGAGTTTGGCTCCGCTGGGAGGCGCGGGGGCGGAGATGGGGGCTGGCGCTATGGTGGCTCCGCCTTAGCCAGACCTGCCACGCTCTCGCAAGTCCTGAGTGGCCCCGGAATAAGCGAGGACCTAGGTTCCGGGCGAGGGGTGAGGATGCCTCTCCTGGGCCTCTTTTGTCCTTCGGTGGTCGGGAGGAGGGCCCTCGGCAGGAGAAAAGCTGGCCGACCTGGGCCGCCCGGGAGCCCACCCAGGCCGGACTCGGCCCCGCCCCTTCCCCTCCGCAGGGTGGAACCCTCCAAGTAGCAGCCTGAGGGGGATGTAAAAAGGGGCAGCCTGTGGGAACAGTGTCGAATCTAGCTCAGAGTGGGAACGAAGTTGCTTCCTTAAGCCCCTTCACTCCGCAGCTGGCTGCCAGCCCTAGCAAAGGCCAGAGAAGCAGGTCTTCGGCCGCGGCCAGCTGGGTGCTCTGGGCCTGCCCCCACCGCGGAGCCCCGTCCTCGGAGGCCGGCCCGAGGGGCAACGGTAAGAAAGGAACCCAGCTAGAAGCCCCGCCCCTACGCTGTGACGAGCTCACGGCCCTGCCCTCAGCGCCGCCTCCACCACAGAGCCCAACCCTTGGAGCGGGGCCTGAGGGGCAAGGGGAAGGAAGGCACCTCACCAGGGCGCCCCCCCTACCCTGTGACGAGTTCGCAGCCCCGCCTCCACCGCAGAGCGGAACCCTTGGAGCCGGGTCTGAGGGGAAGGAAAAAAGGGGCGGCCCGCAGGAGCCGCGGAGAGCCTGGCTCCGGGTGGGAACCAGCTCATCTGCCTGAGCCCCTTTGTTCTTCAACTAGCTGGCACCCCAGCCGATGCTGGAGAATCGGGCCCTCTCGCTGTGTCCACCTGGGTGCCCTGGCCACATCTCTAACTCTACTGCCGCGGGGAACCCTGGTAAGGGGACCCAGCCTGGAAGGGAAAGAGGGAAAACTGGAGGGCTCCCCCAGCTACCCACCTGAGTGCTGCTCCTGAGCTAGGCTTTCAGTTTACCACCTATAGGTCTACAGTTTGACACATGCTATTGGTTCATTTCTCGTGGCTGCTGATGACCTACAGTTGAGTCTTTGGCCTGTTATTCATTGTCCACCGCAATCTGCCCCACTTAAGAATTCTACTGGACAACTAGATTCACGTAATAGTTTCTGCTGGCCGTTGGCTAGTTTGCAAGCAGTTTCTGTATACTTGACCCATTCAGCCCTTCCTTCTCAACTACCTGAAGCAAATCGCTCCCTTAAGGATCAGTGTGACTTTTCCCTGTTAACTCTCCCCATTCCCTAAATTCCTATAGCACTTTCTTTAGTAAAAACTTTGGACTTGCAGTCGGTTCAAATTTCAGTTCTGCCATTTAAAAGTGCTGTGACTTTGGCATGGTGTTTCACTGTTTGGACTTCAATATTCTCATCTGTAAAATGGGGCTAAAGATGAATTTAAAGCCCTGAGCACATGGCTGGCTAGTAGAAATGTACTTAAGTTGTAGCTGCTTTCATCATCATTGGGCAATAACTGTTATGCTTTCCCATATGGATAAAGCATGCTTTTCTAACTTGATTCTAAGTTACTCATTCAAATAGTCTTTGGTGTCTCCTATGACCAGTACGGTGTTGAGCATATGGTTGAAGCTCAATTAATGTTGACTGAATGAATAAAAATCAGTTCTGCTCATCTGGGATCCCTATGTTTGGTCCTTGACCAAGTTCATGTTAGATATTCTGGAACATAAATATGACTTCAATCTGTCACTCGAAGCAACAAATCCATTATCAGCTCATACGCTTCTTGATTTCTTAATATTTTATGAACAACCCATGTATGTATCTCCATGAAAAATTTGCTATGGTCTAGGGGGTAAATAGAACTAAATGTTAAATTATCACTTGATCCCTTTTGGAATCTAAAGCTGTATGTACTCCTAGAATTTTCATGCATTCGTCATCTCAAAGCTTGATTCCTTTTATTAGGATCTTTTAAAAAATCACATCTGGATGCTGCTCCAGGAGTCCATTTTGCAGCCATGAGGGCAATAACTGATGCACATTACCCGGAACTTCTGCCTAGTATAAAGACATTGTCCTTTTCTTGGTCTAATTCTGCTACAGATTTTGGTGCATAGCCAGTTAACTTCCTTAGGTTTTGGTCCAGGCTTTAATGAACATTATCATAAGCTGTAGTTTTCAATAAGCTTAAAATTCTGAGATTAAGATCAAGAAGGAAGGCTACTACTTTTTAGCTTTTAAATTCCAAATGAGTTTTAGTAGTTCTTGGACTAGTAAGCTATGTATGCTATATAATAATCAGTCTTATATCTTCATATCCTTGAGATACAAAACCTCCACATCTTGGTGTCCATATCCATCTCCTTTCTCTGGCTATCACCCAATAGAAACCTGTCTCCAAGTCATTGCTCAAATATTTGTCAAGGATAAGATATAGTATATGATCGGAAACATTATTTGCTTCTGAAGCATATTCATGATCTTCATAAAGATGAAAACCCAGAATTACACCTTGGTGTACCACCATGTATGCCTGTCTGACCCCAACAAGAGGAGCTGTCCATCCTGCCACAGGGGCCTCTAAGACAGTTTCCAGAGAGCCACGTGTCTGTGCCCAAGGTGGACATCAATGCTTTTCTCAAAGTTCTGATCTTTAAAGAAAAGCACTCCATTTTTCGATCTAGAGAAGGTCAATTCTGAATTAACTGAAAATGGCCAATTCATTAAATGTAGCTATTTCTATGACAATTTATTTTAACTCACTGGAGATAATTTTTTCATCATAAAGTTGTAAAGAATGTTGAATTTGGGCCGGTGCCGCAGCTCACTTGGCTAATCCTCTGCCTGCGGCACTGGCACCCTGGGTTCTAGTCCCGGTTGGGGCGCCAGTTCTGTCCCGGTTGCTCCTCTTCCAGTCCAGCTCTCTGCTGTGACCCGGGAAGGCAATGAAGGATGGCCCAAGTCCTTGGGCCCTGCACCCGCATGGGAGACCAGGAGGAAGTGCCTGGCTCCTGGCTTTGGATCGGCACAGCGCGCTGGCCATAGCAGCCATCTGGGGGGTGAACCAATGGAAGGAAGACCTTTCTCTCTGTCTCTCTCTCTCTTGCTGTCTAACTCTGCCTGTCAAAAAAAAAAAGTGTTGAATTTGTCTCTGCTCCAGCTTCCTGTAACTAGTTTAAGATTGAGAGGGAAAGAGTAAACGCTAGGGAACGTAAGATTTCTTCATAGTAAGAAATATGTGTATCTAGTAAATACGAGAATATATTCTGGAAGAATGTTCAATTTTTGTCTGCTCCGACTTCTTGATGTTGTACTTGAGACTGACATGAAAGGAAAAGAATACACTGATAAGAACTCTTCACATTCAAGATTATGTTCTTATGCACACTTGGTCTTTCCTTTTTCCTGTCAGATTCCAACAGCAGCAGTGAGGAGCTGAGGCAGAGACAAACTGAACAGTCTTTAAAATGCTGTTATGGAGACAAAATGGCACCCTACAAGTTCACTCGGTGAATTGGTCACTAGGTCTTCATCAAACTGGACTTCGACTGACCTGCCTCCTAGGTGACTTTGTTAGACACACCCCAGTGTCCCAAGTGAAGTTGTTCATCGGTTTTGAAGGGACTAATAATCATGATCATTAAAATTAAAGTCAACAGAATTCCTGTACGAGGTTAATGATCGCATGTGTTTCCAGTAAATCTCTCCAGTGTTCTGGGGAAATGCTTCTCACATGCTGGCCTCTGCTCTGCTCGTCTTTGCTTCCTGATAGCCTTGTCTTTCTGTCCCCTTGCAATAGTCTCAGATTGTGGATGCTTCTTAAGAGCATTCTCTCTGCCCTGCCCCATTTCTGTCTGAAGTTAAACAAAGTTTCCCTACTTATGCAGACCCAGGGAGGCAATGGTGATGGCCCAAATAGTTGGATTCCTGCTACCCATGTGGGAGACCTGGATCTAGTCCCCAGCTTCCTGCTTCAGCCCAGCCCACTACCAGATGTTACGGGCATTTGGGGAGTGAACCAGTAAATGGGAGCGGTCTCTTCTTGTCTCTGCCTCTCAAATAAGCACAAATTTAAAAAAGTCAACAAGAAAACTTGGCTTAAGGACCATGGTCCAGACCCAAAATACAATGGGAAAAATAAGGGCAGCATGTTTTAAAATGCATTGGACATTGTGAACCCTTTGGTTACATAATCTGATTCAGGAGATTAATTTTGGGGAGGTAAGATGTAGAAACCAGAGTGTATCATCACATTCCTTGTCAACTTAGTATCTTTTTTGGGAGCTGAGGATTTTGGAAGGAGATTGCTCAGACACCTCTTGAGGGGGGTGAAGCCAGTTTCTCCCACTTGTGGCTCTCATGTGCTTACCAGCAATCTCAAACCCCCAAATCCTGTCCTAACTTTCCTGAAATCCGACAGTTGGATGCTGAGGAAGCAGACATGTGGAACAGATCTGGATCCGATCTGGTATACTGCCTACAGCCCAATGCAATGTGTTAGAGGCAATCTTGAAAGACTACTGGGAAAATGGAAAAAGGCACAGAAATTGATCTTGAAGGAGAACAACCTTTACTCTAATTTGTTATAGCGTTGCTTTCTATCTCCCCAAAGATATTACTATTGTATTTGTCTTCATAAGGCACATCCTACCACTTTCATGCCACCCCACCAGGGAAAGTAATCGTAAATGGCCTCTCTCTGAGAACATTACCAAACTTCAAAAGACTTAACTGTAAATTTATTTTGTTGATTTTTTAACATTTTTGATTTTTAACATTTTGTCGATTTTAACATTTCTGTCGATTTTAACACTTTTGTCGATTGTAACATAAATACAAGGAAATTAAATAAATCAATAAATCAAAAATATTGTAAAGACAAATCGGCATTCACAGAAAGCTATTATATTATTAGTATGGTTAGTCTGGAATACAGCATTCACTGGAAATGTATGCAAGGGAGGCTTAGTGAAAGAACTAAAGGGTTCTGAAATGTTCTTAAGACGGACATACTTGAGGCACTGCTTGAGCAGGTATGGGGGGAATCAAGATAGGCTCTATATGAGTAGGAGCAATCAGGGTTTGATACATACAGCAACAACAGCATTGCAGAATAGTTGACTGTTCCCAGTAGCTGCTCCCCCTTGCCACTATACACTCTTCAAGGCTTGAAACATTTTTAAAAGTAATCATAAATCTGGTTGTGCCAGGGTGGACCAGTCATAATAATCAACAATGTGCCTTTTAAAGAACAGCAACGTTCTTTTTTCCCCTTCTATAGATCTCTTAAAGTAATCCTGTTCTACTCCTCTCTTCTGAAAGGCTCTGGGGACGTGAGAAGTGGCAGTGTGCATATCTCCTGCACGGTCACTGCGTTGCTGACATATGATCTAGATTACAGTTCCATCCTTCTCGGCAGCCAAGGTATTAAGCTAAAGACCGTAGTGCAGACTGTACACTCTGGCAATTAGGGCTGGAGTCTGCGCGTAGGATATTGGTATCGGATGCCAGGTATGGCTGTAAAGATTGCATGAAGATGCAACCAAAAGAATGAGTGGAGTTTGCCAAACAAGGTTGTGCCTGTCCTGTGGAGGCCCCTTTTTCTAACTTGCTCCAAGGCACTGTATAAGCTCATTGTGGCGCTATTTGCTTACATTTTCCAGTCTGGCTGGCATCATCATTCTCTATTTCAGTGAAGTTTCTATATTTCACATCCCATATAGTCTCCAAAAGGAGATTTTTGGTTCACTGAATTATCACATTAGACAAAACAACCACAATTCTATGAAGGAATAAACTTAGCAGAAAATAAATACAAAAAAAAAAAGATTTTTGACATGTGGTCCACTAGAATTTAGCTTATATACAACAAAGGCATGCAGAACTACACTCACCAACAGGCTGAAGTCAACAGTTGCTTTATATGTTATCAAAGACAATTTCCAGCCCATATGTTACAGAGGCTAACTATTTTTTGAGGGGGGGAGGTCTTATTTTTAGTATGTTGTTTAAAACCAATCTTCTTTTAAAATGGCTAAGAAACCAAATCACAAATGTCTAAAAACTATGGTCATGTCTTGATTCTTTGCTCTTCCGATAGTAACCATTACTCTCAATTAGCTTATGTTCCTCCAGAAGTTGCTGAGTATAAAACGAGTCGATTTTCATAATCTCACATTGTGTAAAAGGTAAAAATTGGGCATTTCACACTGTCAAGCTTCACGCTTTGAGAAAGAAATCACATTTGCTCGACAAAGGGTAAGCTTCCTCGCTTTGAAGTCCTTCTGAGAGTCATACGGCTTTTTCCATTGCAGGAATCATCTTTCTCATTAAATGTGTGCTGTTTCCCCGTGAAATCATGAAGGCACACGTCTCCATTCTGAACACTGAAAGAAACCCCATTCTTCTCTGTTGATGCATTCCCTACGTAAGGAAAAACAAAGTTGGTGTCATGAAGTATCCAGAAAGCATTAAACAGACATCACTTTAATCTTAAATATGTACAAAAAATCTTTTAAAAGCATGATATATATTCATGTTTATTTTTATTCCATAAGGTCACTCAAAATAAGCACAAAAAATTGGAGACTGATTCTGTTGCAGTTTTATTTTTTTAGCAAAATGATCAAACTATGAAACAAAGTCACCCTGAACGCGTCCCATCTTGTCTGATCTTGGAAGCTAAGCAGAGTCGGGCCTGGTTAGTACTTGGATGGGAGAAGTAATATATTTCAAAAGGTTATTTTCTAACTCTGGTTGGACATATATTGATTACAAGTGGTAGCAAATGTATTAAATAACCGAAAGTAATTTCTTGGTGTCCCCAGAAGTTAGTTAAGAGATCCCCATCTATACCCTTAGAAAATTCTTTGTTCCCTAAAATTTCTGTAAAATGAAACTTGATACCAGAGAAACCCAGAGCAACCAGCTCCAACATTCATGGTGAGAGAGATCATTTCTGTTGTAGATTAAAGCAGCCTTGCTGATTAAATCAGGGTAGGGCTGCTTCCCAAGAAGAAACCACCAATTGCACCCTAAGACGCCAGGGCCAGGGAGCAGGAGGCCTTCTAGGGCAAATGCGGTTTAAACCAGGGCCTCCTTCATCCCTGAACATAGGGGAATACAGCTGCTGAGATCCTCTAGCTACTTGGTCCCATACTCTGTTCGGAGACAGTACAGAAAGCTGAATAATCTCATTTGTTGGTGACACAATAATAACAATAATGAAGAGCACTTTATAATTGCCATCTTGTTTCTAACCCTACTGGATGGGTAGAATTATATCCATTTCACAGATGATGAAACTGTTGCACAAACCTTGCTGTGCCCAAGGTTACACAGCTCAGAAGTGATGGAGTCAACATGGGATGTTGCTTCCAAACTCTGTGGCCCTGTGTACGTGATGACATGGCTGCTTATGCAAGCCCTCTAAGGCAGCTCATAACTGAAGTATGTCACATTCATGCCAACTCGGTGATGGACATGGTTAATGCAGTTCTACCTGTGCCACCGCTCAAATAGGCCATGGTGACTGGCTCAGGCAGCTGTTCTGATTTAGGCATTTTGGTCTGAGGACATTTTGGTAGAGGAATACTTTGTCCTGGTAGAATAAACCAGTCCACGGTCAGCTTTTTGAAATTGTCAACTCCCTTCCCCATCCATCCTAGATCCTGGTGGGAGGACTAGGGACCCAGGGATGTTCATCTGATCTGCATAGCATGTAGCCTGAAAATACCTTCACCCTTACTGGCAGGCACCAAAAATAGCTGTGGCAAATGTGTGTTTCTGTCCGATCTGACTCTGCAGAAGATGACAACACATTGGTGAGGCTAAGCCAGTGAGGTTTCATCTTTGAGTTCTTTTGAGAATATGGAAAATCTGGTACATGGATTTGGAGCCCTAAATACATGCTGTGATTTGAAGGCCTCTTGATGGACCCTGTACACTCCTTTGATTTCTCTGCTTTCAAATTGCTTTCTCAGACTAACTTATGAACCCACCTTGATTCCCACACCCGCCACTATGTTGACCTACACTGAGTCACCCATGATGTAGCTATTTGGCATGGAGCCCCAGAGCCTTCTGGTATTGATGGTAAAGAGCTAAGGCCACGTGGCAGCTGTTTTTTTTTTTTTTTTTCCAGCAGTGGTTCTCAACCAGAAGCAATCGTGGACTTCATTTTGCCTCCCCCTGCCCCGGGGTCAACTGGCAGTATCTGGTGACATTTTTGGTTGTCAAAGCTAGGGGTAGGGTGCTATTGGCTCTAACGGGCAGAGGCCAAGGGTGCTGCTGTATATCCTTTGACTCCACAACAGAGAAGTAACCAGCCCCAAGTGTCAGTTGTGCCTGAGGCTGAGAAATCTCAGTTTGAGGCATCCTAGTGTATTTTAAAAGTCTCTAGACAGACCAACAGGACCTCTCAGCTTTTGGAGATTGGAAAACTATTTTGTAGATGTATGAACCTTCTGACAAATTTCGAATCAGGCATGAAAAGAACCACTAGCCTAAAACAGTGGATAAAGGTAAATTCTCCATGGAAGGAGAAAGTATACTGGCAGAACTTAAGGTTTTATAAAAATGCAAAAGATATATTAAGAAGCCAAAGAAGGTAAAAATAGATAAGCTTTTATGAGTAACGAACAGCCCATTCTTATGAATGAAAGAAAATACAATAGAAGTTTTAGCTAGAAATGTCAGAATTAATGAGTGAAGGAGGCACAGCAGCGATAACGTGTTCATGTATTAGTGACGTACGCGATCACAATACTGGTCACTAATCTTTCGGTATTTGATATATTCATGGGGTTTGGGTGCTGTCACAAAGCAGCTGCATTCTGGGAAAGACTTAACTAATGTGAAAAGTGAAAAATAGCAAGGTTTACATATGACTATAGATATAACAAAAATCAGTGTAGTCTTATTGACTCTTTTAGGTACTGCTCTCATAGAAATAGCACAGTACTAAAGTCCTTGGGCAACACTTAAATTAGGATTTAAACCATTAAAACTTTTAGGTCATAATCAATTCCCATTATGAAAAACTAAATCTCAAAAAAAATTAGTTGCTTCAGTTTTTGCTCTAAAACAAATTTAATTAATAAACTTTCTCTTATCAGGGAACCACATTTTGACACACTAGTCATATATGTAATTAGTCCATTGCTTAGCAAAGATGCCATTAAAGGATAAGACTACTTTCAAAAAGAAACACTAGCTTGCTAAATACTATATGGAGACATACATACCATTCCCGCTTGCGTGTACTGAGCAATCATTATTCACTAGCAGTGTGGTGGAGTTAGTGGAGTTACTGTTTGACTGTAAGGAATTTGAAGAGCTGGATACTCCTTGGTTTACAGTCTGCTTCTTTAAACCATTAGTAGCAGTTTTACTCCAGTCTATAGCAGAATAAGCATTACAGAAAAACAGCAGTATGTTGAAGCTCCAATGCAAGAGACAGGTCACAGTGTAACAGTCCTAAGCACCTGACCTCTCACTACCAGACCTCAGACACCTCGCATTTCACAAGTTGACGTGCTAAAAGCATTTCCATCTAGACTATATGCATTTGTCCTGCACGTGACTGCCTCATGGGAAGCCACCTCCTTTTTGGAACGAAAAGCCAAGCTGACTGGGTTGTGTCTGTAACACTCGCTGTGTTGGCCAGTTCAAAGCCTCACACTGCCTTCATGAGAACACAAACTGTGTTGTGTTGCTTAATCGTTCCTAAGTCCGTTGCAATGACTCCTCTCTAGGTACTGTCATTTTCTGTAAGCACTGCTGCGTGGTCTTTGTGGCTGCTTTGCAGGCAGAAGAAATCTAGCTCTTCAAACAGTACTTCATTTCTCTTTCCTTAATAATGACCCATCTGCTCGACTACCCAACAGGGCGTATGTGAAAGTAATTTCAAAATGATCAAACATATGCTATACCCAAATCAAGTACATTCAGACGCGAAAGCTTGATTAGGAAGGTTAGCCTGCTAACAAATAAAACAACTGACCACTAGGACCCATAGAGAAAGGGTGAAGTCGTGCATTAAAAGGTTGTGAACCTTAAATATTAAAAATTACTTTGGGAACTGAAAGACATGAGCTCGGTGGGAAATTCTAACACTTTCACTGTTGCTTCCACCAAGAAACAGATGTATATGAATGATTTCTTTTTAATCCATTCGGTCTTTTCTGCTCATGTTCCCAATCGCTATTTTCCCTTGAGTGGATTGCACCCACTGATTTCCTGATGGAATGGCCCTTTGCTAAGGACTGCTTTGGATCTTCATGTACACAGTCTTTCTCTCAAGATGTAGGAGAAAAAGTAAGGTCAATGGTTACCTGAGTTTTCAGCCAGTCGTAACTTGCCACAACAAAGGTACCGCCTCCATTGCTTCCTGACATTCTCTTTGGCTACACAGTAGAAGAGGAATATGAAAAATCCTAAGGGCGAGGGAAAAGCAAGCCAGAACAGAATGAACTCCACAGAAGACCTGGATGTCAGGAACTTACTTTGCATAGAAGAAAAAAATCTTGCAGCCATGGGCAGAGTGAAATTTTGCAAGTGACTAAAACATCCAAAATCCCAGGAAAGCTTGCTAGAGAAAGGCATGGGGGCAGGGGTATACCTTTTATTTTTACTCTTGGTAAAATAAAGAATAAAAAGGAATAATAATTCTACCTTTTTCATCTTATTTTGAATTTTTAGGGTGAATAAATTTCATGTATTACACATATACAGATTTAGGAACATAGTGATACTTCCCACATTTCACCCTTCTTCCCCCTTCCTCTTATTCCCTCCCAATTTTTACAATGATCTATTTTCAGTTTACTTATACTCCTAAGATTAACTGTTCACTAGGAG